AATTTCTGGCATACTCTCCGGCGCCTGTGACGCAATATTAACCGTTTGAATTACCTGGACATTGCCTTATGTGGGAATTATAATAACCCTTATCTCAGATATCAGCTGATGGCAGTAGTACGACATTAAAAAACGACAGATTAGGCCTACTAAGGTATTCCACTCAGTTTGTAGAGTGGTATTTTCCGGCAAAGGGCGAAGAGTGAAGCTAGAGAAGGTAGCTAAGCAAAGAGAAGGTGGAGAAAGAGTCGAGGTGGATGCCAAAATGCTGCTCAGCTGATTTGTTTGGCATAAAAACAATAATAAATCCACATAGTATAGTCTGCTAACACCCCCCAACCCCCATTCCCACAAAAAGATGAGTCAAATGGAGAAAGCCACTCACTCGAACGCAGCGCGCCGGCGTCGTTGACGCTCTCGCTCGAATCGCTCTCTTGAGCTTTTTGGGGCTCGCGTCGCTGCCCGCTGCCACGTTCGAATAGGTTTTCTATCTTTCCTGGCTGGCGTTCCACTCATTCGTCTCTCAGTCAACGCAGCGCTCACTTCACTTTTCCGTGCACTTGCTCCCTGAAAAAAATTATTAAGAAAATAAAAAAAAACAGCAAACAAAATCCCAGAGCTACTATATAAAAAACAAACTGAAACACTAACTAAGGCAGAAACCCGAAAAGAACGCCGAGAGTAGCACTGGAAGTTTTTTGTGTGCAAATTAATTAAAAAAAAAAAAAGTTAAAAACTATTAACTAAAAACTCTGTCGCCGCTGCTGCTATCTCGTTCTGCCTTTTCCGATCGTCGCGTCGTGCTTTAAAAACAATCGTCGATTGACGTTCTGTTTTACTTCGCCAGCTGCCGTCGAGTCGAGTCGAAGTCGTGGCCGTAAAAATAAATAAAAAAATTTAAGAAAATACGATGCGAATCAAAAACAATTAACTTTAACTGACTAAACAACAAGCTTTAAACGCAACTGTAAATATTTCTAAAAAATCCGCGAACAACCAACGTTCAAAAGGTAAAAGATCAACTTCTAAAACACAAAACCGAGTCACTAAAAAAAAGTCCAAATTTTATAAAAAACAAAAATAGAATTGAATTAAAAGTAACGCCAGAATAAAGTTAATAAATTACATAAAATGTCAAGAGGCGCGAAATGCGTTCAGTTTCAGTGAAAAAAAATATAAGAAAATAATAATGAATAAAATTTTAATAAAAAAAAAAAAAAAACAAAAACAAAAATTGACAAAAATAAACTTTATTATGCGTGTATCACACACACACATGCAGTGGAATATATAATTTTAAAGAACATATAATTGCTATTTTAATCAGCTGCAAGTGTGTGTGTGTGTTTATGCGAGCGATTATCAGAATCGTTCTGATTTGTCACAAAAACAAAAAAACAAAAAAAATTTCCAAAAAAAAATCTGAAATTTGAAAATAAAAGCAAGAAATTGAAATCATTAGAAAAGTGTGCAAACGTTTGTTACACGCGGCCAGCGAAGCGCTAATAACGAAATAATACCAATAATAATAATAATTATATTAATAATGATGCTACTTATTAATGGGTAAATAATAAATGATCGGCTGAAACGAATGCAACTTACAAGTGCAAGGAGAGAATCAAAGAAAAGAAATGATAATCCAAAGAAGAGACAAAGTTTTACACAACACTCGGTCCTAACCTGCAAACTGCAGCTGCTGCGCTGCAACTGCACTGCTGCAGCGACGTCGACAGCAACTGCAACTGCAGCAATTTGCATGGTGGGGAGTGCAGTGCAGTGCAGTGCGTTCGCTCATTATCCAAACATCCTCTCATCCACCCACTCTCGGCTGCCTGACTCTCTTCGCACTACATTGCAATTGCTAATTTGCATTACATAAAATTGCATAGCAATTGCATTTGTTTATGCCTTAAAAGAAAATTAATTAAAATCTAAAGAGTGCGTGTAATTGCAGTGGATTTTAGTTACTTGTTTTTTTTTTGAGTGCATTCGATTACACAACTCTCAGTAAACATTAAACACGGGATTCTCAATTCTCCTCCAACACGCTCTTTTGATCTTCTGTCCCCCAATTCATTGTCCCCCACCTCCACTTCCTTTTCCCCAAAAAGTGTTTTTTTTTCTTAACTGCCTTTTTTTCTCGTTCATTCAATTTACTGCTCACACGCACACACACAGGCGCAGTTGAAAGCAATTACTGGCTTTTTAGGGGCTGCGCTGCAGGGTCGACGCGAAAAGGGGTGTAGGGGGCCATACCCGTTATTGCTCTGCAATTGAAAAGACAGAAGAATAGGGGAGCACACACAGCCTCTAACCTCTCTCTCTCTCTTTGTGTCACGTCGTTCATAGGCATTTTGTGTTTGTTGTCGTCTGCTTGTTTGGTTGCTCCCGCTCTCTCTTTTTATGGTAGCTGATTTTTGGCGACTCTTCTCTGTTTGCTGTTCTTCGACGCAATTTGTTACACAATAAGAAATTTTTCAGGTTGCCTCCCCAAAGGGGGGTTTTATTTACCAACTAATAGATAATCTAAAGTTCTAGAAACTTTAAATCAGTTTAATACAGACCCTATAACGTCAGACAGTGCTGGGGGCGCGGCCCCAACCACATCAGGCGATCGCTGCGCGCACTGCTGCACTGCTGACTTTGCTGAAATCGCAACTCAATCTCGAGCTAGTACTTCACTACTCGCACACACACTTCAAATTCCCCACTCACTCATACGCTCTTCCCCCTGCCACTGCCACTCGAGCGGCACAGTTCAAGAGTTGAAGAGAAAGATCGCGAGTGCAGTTTCTATCACTATCTCGTTCCTGCCCTTATCAGTGCAACTGCCTTGCAGTTTGGAACTTCTCGAACTTGTCAGGCAGCTCTTCGAGTGTCATTTGGACTTCAAGCTGCTCCCTGCTCTTAAAATCCAATCTGGGATCTTGAAATCTTCAGATAAACAAGATATTATGGTGGTTATAATTATTCAATTGAGAAACATTAAGGTTATAGCTTCTGGTGGCTTGTTGGGGAAATATGGGGGTGTGTCTCTGTAAGCACTACTGCCCACATACTTGAGGGTTTATGGCGAAATAGTTCCACAACTGTCAGATAACTCATACACTGTTACTTTAGTCTTAACTTGTCAGAATAGTAGCAGATCCATCTTTTTGGGGAGGTTCTTAATTAACTTTGTTATGTAATAGCCTTGAGGGGCTTTTGGGGGGCTCGATTGAACCGATTCGGTTCTAACCAGTTGCAACTGGCCCGTGGCATACGACAATTGGCGAGCTGGACAATGAAGATGAAGCAATTATTGGCCGTACGAGTGGCTTTTGTTGTCCACTCAGTGCCTTCCGGTTGAGAGCAGTGGGGAGCAGTCTGTTTTGGCAGGTGGGTGTGTTTTCCAATCCCGCCCCAGTTGCCTGCCAGTACAGGCCCAGGTAGCACTCAAAAGTCCTAATCAATCGAGCCCCATTTTAAATTCGAAATTACGCAATGACTTAAGAATGACATTGGGGCCCAGAAAATGGGCTGGTCACCTTCTGCCTAACGTAGATCTTGAGTTCCAGATTGTCAGGTAAGAGGACACCCTTCACTTCAATGTCGCACATGACCACTGATGAGCTGAAAGCCTGCCCCTTTAACTCCCAAGTAGAACTGCCCAAGTACTTTTGCTATTTCACCAGAGGGACGAGCCCCCAAAAAATCGTTACGCTCTGTTTGTTGTTTTTATTGTGGCGTTTTTTTTTTTGCAAAGTCTTTTGGACTCTGGAAATTATAAATAATACTTGACTGTTTGTTGTGGCGGTGGATGATATTCCAGCCATATCATGCCAACACCACTCCAAATTAGAGGAACAAATATAGCTTGGCTATCGCACGATGGCGCCTTTATCGCGATCAGTCGCACATCGGGCATTCCACGGGGGTTTCACGGGGGCCCCACGGGGGCTTCACGCGCTTGGAGCTTGATTTTCATCCGCATCACGCATGGACAGAGTGCGCGGTTCACTACGGCTGTTGTGTACGGCCGTAAAAACGGCCTCGTAGCCCGTACGGAGTCGCCTGAGACGCCGGAGACACGTCCGTAGATGTAGGCTGAGTCGGCCGATCGCTGGCCAATCTTATCGAAAACCAATCCAATTCCAGTTGCCGGGCTATGCTCTCTCTCTCTCTCACTCGCTCTGGGTTTGTCTCTCTGGATTTGTGGGATTACTGATTACAGGGGCTTATCAATATGGGTCTGGTACTACCAGGCCTGTGGTTCTTGTTATTGCCAGTGTCGGACACACCCACCTAGGTCCCGTGCTATCTATCACGACCGAAAGAAGGCACATCGAGAATCGAGCTTCATCGAGTGGATGGATAATTGATAAGTCATTGCTCGTCTAAGTAGTGCCCTGCAATGCCACTCTCGGGGAATTGGCGTTGGGGAAACGTGACTTATCGCTGGGCGAAAATTTTCCTATGGCATGGTTGTGAAATGTAGGAAACCGCCCAGATGTCGCGCTAATTCGTAATAGGAATTTTCGACGATCACGTTTGACCCGAAAGGTGTTGGACTTTCCACCTGCTAATATTTTACACCGCAAAAGATTCCGATAACATTTTTGTTTATCAGGAAAGAACTGTCTGAAATCTAATAGTGATTATGCTATACCATGCATACTATGTAGTTTCTAGTTAGTCATTTTTATAGTGTAAGTTCTGAGGCATACAAGGCATAAGGCATAGAATGAATTCCGGCTCAATTCGGCTCATTAGGAGACCCCTGTTTGGCTAATTAAGTTTGTCTAATTGGTAACTACTAACCCGAGAAACAAGTGTCGAGCAGTTGCGACTAATGATTACTTGTGCATTCTGAGATACATTTAAAAAAAAGTTTAAAAAGATACTTTTTCCGCGAATCGCTTCTACCGTCGTGGTGTAACAAACGAGTGCTACGCGAATAAGTCTATACAACACACAACCAATCCTTACGATCCGCGTTTTGTGAATTCATTTTGCAGTAATCTTGAGAATAAACATGAGATTTACTCACTCGCTCAACAAACGGCGGCAAGTGAGAAAAACCAACACCAATCAGGAACTGAAATCGAGGAGATCAACCATCCAGAGGAGCCTAAACCAGTCGAGGAGCTCAAAATCAAGGAATCCCCAGACACAACTGCTCCAATAGAGATCGAGGAGAAGCCAGAGATCATTGAGAGCAAGGATATCACCAACGAGAAACCAAAAACTATAGAACTCGTTGAAGCTAAAGTTGCAACTGCAACCAGCCCACCAACACCAACACCACCACCACCTCCACCACAACCTGAGGAGGCAACCACTGCTCTGTCCACTGCTCAGCTGCGTCACCTCCTGCAAAACTATTCGCCAGGACCGCGCACCATAACCGCCCAGCTGCTCAGCGGGAATACCAACCACAACACCAGGGAAGAGAAACGTCCCAAGTCGGTGACCGCTTCGGTCTTCCGGCCCAGTCCCGCACCACCTTTGACCCCACCGCCGCAGCCCATACAGGCTTGCGCCACCTTTAAGAAATCCCCCATCGTCGTGGAGCCAACGCTTCCGCCCACCACCACAGCCACGGCGGCGATACTGTCATCCAGTAATCAGCAACTGCTGCCACAGACTCCAAACCAATTGCAGAATCATCCCACCCAGCAGCCATCACAAGATATGAGTAAAGGATTCTGTTCATTTTTGACCGAGGATGTCCGAGGTCTGGCAAGTAAGTACCACATTCTAGAATTAAATACCTTACTCGATTCGGTGATACTATGGGTTCTGATAAGAAGGGAAGTAGTTTTAGGTTTTGGGTGTGAAGTGCATCGGTGGCAGGTGTCAAGGCTAAAGTCAACTAATCAACAAGTACGAGCGACTAAAACCCATACCAGGGGAGGATCATACATATGCATTTTCAGCTTGTTGTTGGTTTGTTTATAAATTCTATGCAAAAAAAAACCACTAGAGAGAACCTCTAGTGACGCTCGCCATTTGATGCGATTTGACGTGTTGTCGATGTGATTGGTCAGTCATTCAGTCATTTAGGCAGTCAGCCAGCCAGCCTGTCAGTCTTTGGCTCGCTTATCTGTGGCCGCAATTTGCGCAAATAAAACTATTTATTTGTAAAGACAACAACACAGTTCGTAGCTCATAGCTCACTGCTCGTAGCTCACAGCTCGTAGCTCACAGTTCATAGCAAAGTAAAGTAAAAAGTGCATTAGTAAACAAATGTTCCGAGTGCTCGCCTGATAAGTGCATAATATACAAACCTACATACATTCATACAATTAGTATATACTTCTATACAAGTACGTCTACAGCTATATAGGGTGTATTCCCATTCCGTACTTAACCGCAAGCCGGTTGCAGCGGCTCTTCTTATGTCACATTTGCCGGCATTACGCATACGCAGTGTATTACATGCGAACTCCTGCGAATTGTTTTGCGAAAAGATTAGAGTTTCAAGGTGTTTTCTATTTGTTTTTTACTGGAGATTGCATTTTATAAGATCAGGCTATAAGTAGGAAGGTAAATAGGAAGTTATTTTAGTGTTGCGTATACGCAGGGTGGTACCTGAGTGGGAGGGAGTACTCTGATTAAGATGCTTGGAAATGTTTTGTTAGTATTTTTTGAAGCGTCACTCTTTCTAGTTCTATTATTTTGGTACAATAACTTAAGATTGAGTTCTAAGATCAATCTATGATCTGGAAAGTGAATAGGAACAAACTTTAATGTTGCGTATACGCAGGGTAGTACCTGATTTAGCAGGGATTATTCGGTTTACATGTTTTGAAGTCTTTTCAGTTCTAGTATTTTGGTACTATATCTAAAAAATGCATTCAAGAACGAGCTTTAAACAGGAAACTAAATAGGAACTCATTTTTATATTGCGTATACGCAGGGTAGTACCTGATTGGCAAGGACTGCCCTGTATTTTTAGTATATTTTTGTGGCGTCATCGATTGTTATTTAGTTCCCCTCTCTCTTTCTTCATTTCTAGTATTTTGGACATTTCAAATATTCTTTCTTTCTCGATTCTTCCCAAAAAACTTTTCCGTTTTTTTTTGTTTTTTCGGTTCCGTGGCACTGCCTGGTGACAAAAAACAGAAATATGAATATTAACTTGAGCCAATTAATATGCTAAGTGATGTGGCTGTCGTCGGGAGGTGGTGGGGAAGGTTGGTTAAAATAAAAAAATTAAAAAAAATAGAAGAAAGAGTAAGAAATAAGAGGGGATGAGAGGCTATGTTTGGGGGAGAATTTTTGGCGCGTGTGCCAAGGTCCGGCCATGGATCAAGCGGTGCTGTCTCGCATGTGTCGCCGTCCCTCCTCCAGCACCGCCCACTTCACGGCCCACCGCCCACTGATGACACTTCTGGTCCCTCCCAACCCCCATCCCCATCCTCAAGTGGACCTGCAGCCTCTAATCGCTTTCGTTTTCGTTTAGTTTCCTTTTGGTTTCGGACTCTTTCTGTTGACATTTTGGGCTGCCCGCAGATACAGATACAGATACACTAAAAGATAGAGATACTTTCAGTGGGAAGCACTCCCTGCCTCCCATTGCCGGCTTCTATATTTATTTTCGTTGCGTGGAACGTAAATAAACAGGGAAACGCCATGGCTTTATTCTGCTTTATTTTCGTATTGGTTTTCCTGGGGCGAGGGGGGAGAGAAGATGCACCTTTCGAATGATAATGATTAGTCGGTATTTTTATGTAATTGTTATTTGTCAACCCCCGGGTGTACGTTCGGTACTTTTCCAAACAAACCTCAAATAATTCCGTTCGTAAAGTTAATCAGTCGTAACACTCGATCGCCTCGATTGTTCGTCGATTCTCAAGGCGTTACAGCACAGATACAGATACTGATAATCGCTCTGGAGGAGGAGGGTGTGATGGGTGGGTGGGTGTGCTTCTTTGTTTTTTTATATTTTTGATGGCCAAACAGAAGTAAACCGTTGACAAACAATAACAAATGCCTTACTGTAATTACCTGAGGCTCTCTTATCCGTTCCATAATCTATAAAAGCAAATATTTGTAATGATAGCAGGAGGAATTGTTATAGCCATAAATATCAATTGGGTACTTGGTCCGATACATGGTCCGATTTATGGTTAAAACGACTAGTTGGCTGGCAATTATGTTGAGTTGAGGGTCGGGTTTCGGGTGTCGGGTGTCGGCGGGATCGTATGACGCGCCAACGCACTGCTATCGTGATTAACACGCCAATGACAGCACAAAATAATACTGATGGCCTGGATGGATTGGACTGGGACTGGACTGAATGGGATTCAGGTCTAATCGGCTGAGTTCAAGTTCAGAACTGATACGCCGAGTTCCAGTCTCACTTCTGATTCGGGAGTCTGGCATCTGTGTAAGTTGTTGTGTTTTTTTCGGCTCTTACATAAAGAAGCTCCATCTTCCCTGTTGTTTTCGCTTTTTTCGGGGTTACACACATTCCAATTTTTTGATTCAAAACGACGTCACATCAACAAGACAAGCTCGAACTCATCACGAGAACATAGCAGCATCGTCGCCGCTTTCAATTGCAGATGATGACATAAATTTATTTAAATTGAAGCAGTTTTCGCCGCTAGCCCGTATCTCAAAGATTCTCCACGAGAGTCACGCGTCTAGCACGAATTTCGGTGCTGGTGCTGGTGCTGCTGCTAATGTGGCAACCTGTTTGGGTTTTCATTTCAAGTGCACACAGTATCTGGCTCAAGTGCAGAGATGCCTTTCACAATCGAATCACGATCTCCTTCTCCAGTATCCAGTACATCTTATATCTGGCAGTGACTGGGTGATGGTCAAGCCAAGTCATAGTACACCTGTGTAGGCCCAGTTAGCCAGTTAGCCGCTAAATGCGATCCCCAACCTTGCCGAACATTGGCGAAAAACAACACATTACAAGCTTCTCATAAAACTGCACTCGAATCCGATAGATATAGTTATATAGATAGACCCCCAATGGGCCGGGCTATACAAACACAGATACCTCAGATACCCAGGCACTATCATGCGCCATAATTTCTGTTGTTTTTTCCGCAAAAACGGCTTCGGCCAAACGTTGAATAGCACTCGAGTGCCATAATTACAAGTCACACTGCCGGGGTGGAGGATAGCCAAGGGCGTGCATACACAGGAGGGAGACCTTTGGGCAACTATTGTTAATTAATTTGTTTGTTTCAAAGGCAGCTAGAGTGCCAGGGGTGGGGGAACTGCAGCTACAAGCTGTGCAAATCCCCAACAAGCTAACACTAATCTGATCTTTATTGTGGCAGCCATATGTTCCACAAAGAATATAATAGAATAATAGATTTTAAAATATTTAGTTTCTTAAAATTATAGTATTCCCCGAGTTCCCTACTTATATGGGCACTGCAGTTGGGATTTAACCGTTTATATACGACTCTCTGATATATAAAAGATATAGAAGTAAGCCCAAAGGCAAACAATGCACTCACATTCACGAACTTTTCGCATTCGACTTGCATTTGAAATTCTATTTGGCCTGCGGTCGGTCGGCTGGCTGCTTTAGTTAGTTTTTCATTTCCATTTTGCAACTTAATAGTCGGCGCACAGAGGCGGTTGGGACCAGTTTTATTAGCATACCATATATACTATAGCCATGTCTTGGTATGGAAGCCAAGCCCCATCCCCATCCCCATCCCAGTTGGGATCAGGCAGGAATGCCTGAATATAGGCTTAGAGATGACGCGGGTTCTCGCTCTGAAATCAGAAAGATCGCCCCGGGATCGCGGCCCTGGGCTGATAAGCTGCCTTGCACCTGATGTGGGGTGAGTGCCTTTAGTCGATCCGATGCACCTTCTGGTTATTCAATTCCTCTATTAAAAATAGAGCCAGAATCTCTATATAGGTAGGGTATTATATTATTTGTTTGCTTGCCAGTGCTGGGCTTGCACTTATTCCGCGTACGTCAATAGAGGAGATGGGGTCCGAAATGCTGATTAATGAGTTCGGCCCACCAGTCGGCCAGTCGGCCATAAAAATCATGGTTATAGCTATAGCAATTGGAGCGACTAATAATTGTTTGGAGGAAACAAATAGCACGTTGCGTTCAATTAGTCTCAATTGAGAGCTGTCAATTAGGGGCGACTCCTCCGTCTCCGGCTAGATGGTGATAATTGAAATTTCGGCACCACAGCCCAGCGCATATATTTTCATTCAGAGTTCTAGAGTTAATTAACAGTCGGTATCCGAATCGAGATCCATTACCTAACACGGCAACAAGGTGAAACCGCTTCTAACCAAAACATTTCTTCTAATCTTGCAGCTCTCAAGGAGGAACCCGACGATCTGAGCCATCATTTGGGCTCCACCGCCTGCATTCAGCTGGACGATATGCCTCAGCTGAGCGACATGTTCTTGGGCCTGATCGGCAACTGCCTGATGCCCGACGACATGAACTCTTTGGACTCGACCACCTGCTCCACGGCCACCAGTGCCCAGCACTACCAGAGTCCCAACAGCAGCAGCAGCAGCAACTCGGTCACCAGCAACTCCAGCACCAGCAATAGCTATGCCAACAGTCCGCTCAGCCCGCTCACACCCAGTCCGCTCACGCCAGCGCCGGTGGCAGTGGCCAGTGGCAGCAATACCAGCCATCAGCAGCAGACGCCACAGCAACAGCATGGCCAGCAGGTGCAGCAGCAGCAGCAGCAACATCACCCCCAGCATCACGACAACAGCAATAGCAGTAGCAACATCGATCCGTTGTTCAACTACAGGGAGGAATCGAACGACACCAGCTGCTCCCAGCACCTGCACTCGCCCAGCATCACCTCCAAGGTGTGTAGAATACTACCAACTATATAACTACCTCCTCAGATTTACTAATACGAATAACTAACTAACTAACTCACTCTCTCTTATTGCAGAGTCCTGAGGGCAGTAGTCTACCATCACTGTGCAGCCCCAACTCGCTGACCCAGGAGGACGAGTTCTCGTTTGCGGACTTTGAGATGCGTGCTCCCTACATCCCCCTGGGCGATGACATGCCTCTGCTCACGGAAACGGACCTGATGTGGTGTCCGCCAGAGGACCTACAGACCATGGTGCCCAAGGAGATCGATGCCATGCACCAGCAGTTGCAACAGTTGCAGCAACAGCAGCAGCAGCACAACCAGCAGTACGCCGGCTACCAGCAGCAGTCGGGCGTCCACCAGCAGCAGCATTTCTCCAACTCCCTGTGTTCGTCCCCGGCCTCGACGGTCTCGTCCTTGTCGCCGTCGCCAGTCCAGCAGCAGCAGCAGCAGGCCACTGCCTTCGCCAGCGACTCGAGCGAACTGGCAGCTCTGCTGTGCGGATCCGGAAATGGAACTCTTTCGATACTTGGCGGTAGTGGAGTGTCGGTGGCGGAGGAATGCAATGAGCGTCTCCAGCAGCAGCAACAGCAGCAGCAGAGTGGTGGAGATTTCCGCAGCTTCCAGCAACTGCAGCAGGAGTTGCAGTTGCAGGAGGAGCACCAGCAGCAGCAGCAACGTCAGCAGCAGCACCAGCAGCAGCAGCAGCAGTTGCTGAGCCTCAGCATTGAGTGCAAGAAGGAGAAGTACGAGGTTCCGATGGCACCCAGCTTGTGTCATTCCATGGAGGATGCATTTGAGAATGACTACAGCAAGGATTGTAAGTATCTGAGAGATAACAGAGGGGAAAGATATAAATAGACAAGGATTTGATAATACTTGACATATTAATTGAAAATTAGCTTATTTTGTTGATGAATTTATGGAAAGAGAATAGATGGATGTATAGTCCCTGCGGGTGATGTCTTCTGCCCTTAAGAAGCAATAACATAGTATTGGGAATCTTCCACAGTCTAATACCCCTAGTCTCCTGCATTTGGAGAGGCCTAATTTTATAGCAGTGCCCGTCTAAGAATAGAACCGTGGAACTTGCTTTGTATTATTTTTTTTTTTATGATGTGTGCTCTGCCAACGCACACGCACCCACACCAGCAGCCACTCCACAACGCCTACATGTAAAAATAGAGGAGAGCCATGAAGAAATTTTCCGAATTCTGAATTCTTTGTTGCGTGTCGCCGAGGATGACACTTGGTTTGGGGTTTGGGCTTTGAGTTTGGGGAGGAGAACTGCGGGAGAGCTAATTGATGTGGGTCCAAGTTCTAAACGACTCACTCCAGTGGCTCCTCGATTCGTAAGCGATTTTGCGTAATATTCTCACACGCCGCCGCACTCTTACCTTTGACACATGTCATGGCACGAGTGGTGGCGGCAACGGTGATTGATGTCTGACACTGCCACCGGAGGAAGCCCACAGATACAGTATATATGCAGATGTATAGAAGTCGTCTGGCCCTGTCAATTGTATTGACTGCAAGTGCTCCGATATGACAGGCCAGAGGCGGGGTGCCAGGTGACAGATGTGTGTAGGCCTCTAACAGTTCTCCACTATATCTGGCACCTTCAGCTAATCCCCGCTGATTTATGTCCAAAGAGGAGAGTATGCGAAATAAGAAATAGCTACTTTTTGTATAGATACATAGATACTGCGACAGAGGCAGCAAAAAATACAGATACTTTCGAATATATAGCCGGGAGAGGTGGCCAATTATTTATGCGAGAAAATGTTTGCTGCTGCTGGCAGACGGCAGGCAAAATATTATTGTTTTAAATTAGCACCAATGTCATGGGCAAAGGAATTAATTTGGCTAGCGTTTTATTCAATAAATTCTGAGGATTAGCCGGCACATTTTTCGACATTAGCGTCAGGAGAGTGTATTTTTTCCTACCTGAAATTCTAATTAAAAATAATTATATCTCCCATTTTAGCTACCAACCTGGACTGCTGGGATCTGTTGCAGATGAACGTGGCTGAGGCTCCAGTGAGTCCTGCCGCCTCACCTGCCCCCTGCAAGGTGACCACCATCCAGTTGCTGCAACAGCAGCACCAGCAGTTGCAACAGCAACACCAGCAGCAGAATATCATTCTGAACGCCGTGCCATTGATCACCATCCAAAACAGCAAGGGATTATTGCAGCAACAGCAGCAACAGGAGCAGCTGCAGCAGCCGGCTCTGAAGATTCTGAATGGAGCCAGCATTGCGCCAGTGACCACCAAGGCCACCATCCGGCTGGTGGAAAGCAAACCCACGACGCAGCCTCGACTGGCCAAGGTTAATGTGATTCCCCAGCAGCAGCATGGAAACAAGCGGCATCTGAATAGCGCGACAGCTGGCGGTAATCCGGTGGAGTCGAAGAGATTGAAGAGCGGAACCATCTGCCTGGACGTGCAGTCGCCCCAGCTCCTGCAGCAGCTGATCGGCAAGGATCCCGCCCAGCTGCAGGCGCAGGCTGGCAAGCGGCAGGGCAACGATCGCTGGCAGCAGGCGACGGAGTCCAAGCAGCAGAAGCAGCAACAACAACAGCAGCAACAGCAATCCAACTCGGTGCTGAAGAACCTGCTGGTCAGTGGACGCGATGTAAGTGCCGGCTACTGCATTGTGCCGATGCGACCCAAGAAGCTGCTGGCCAAGGTCTAAGCTAGAAGCTAGACCTTGGCTCGGTCAGCCAGCCAGCATCACCCGCCTCTCAAAGGATTGTTAGGCTTAAGGACAAGCCCATTACTACAATTTGTCTTTGTAAATGGATCGATTTTATATAGAGAACTATACTACACTACATCAGCTAGAAGATTGTAAACTATTAACCATAAATTGTAAACCGTAAAGTGTAAACTGTAACCAAACAGAGCAACCTCTGCAACCTCCCTCCTCCCGCAGCGAGAGGGCTAAGTTTAGTCCATTTTTGTAGTCCCGATAGAGTACGATAGTTGCTAGTTAATTAGTAGTTAGTTTGTATGGCGGATAGCTCTAGTCTAGATGTGTAAGAGAGTGGACTTTAAAAATTATAAATTTTTTTAGACTATTTTTAAAATAGTGCTAACCGAACCGACTTGAATGTCGGTCGATGGAGGATCCTAATCTTAAGTTTTAGCTTGGCGCGATTTGTTGATTTCTTTTTAAGTTTTGACCCTAAGCCAGTAAGCTAAGCACGTTGTTAAATCTTCTACCGATTCTGTTGTACATACGAGGAGCGCTAGGATTATAGTTATAGTCGCGATTTCGATGCGAGGATATAGATAGAAAGGCATCACATTGGATCTAAATCGAAATCGGAATCGCAATCGCAGACGCAGACCGAGAGTTTAGAGTAAAAATATAAAAAGAAACAAAAAAAGATAAAAGAACGATTGCAATAAAATTGTAAACTACAATATATAAAATTCAAATACGGCAACTTTAAGTTTTTTTTACTGTGATAGCATTTGCTTTTGTTGATTGAGTTTCCGGTCAGGTTCATCAGGTTTTTAATTTTTTTCTTAACTAACTAACCCTTTGCTTTCTGTTACAAAATATTCGAGCAATTTGTTAGATGTGTAAGCTTTGACTGAGAAAGGATATTGGAGGAGTGATTGCAGTGAGTGCAGGGATAAGCGTTTGTTTTGGAATTCATTTTGGTTGAGCTTTTTTGTTGCGGAAAATCAAAGATAATCGAAGAAAAATGTAAATTGTCAAAGTTTGTGAAAGAAAAGTAGCAAAATTGAAAACCGAAATTCGAGCGCTGAAGGTACAAAAATAACAAAAATATAGAGACGGAAGATGGAAACTACAAATCCCTATAGAGAATACAAGGAAGAAGCAACTGTAAGCTAGAAGAATATGCACACTAGTTCTAATCGAAAGTCAAGAACTAAAAAAAAAAATATTAAAAAACACAACACATACACATAGAAAAACTATTAGCAATTAAAGAACAATCCTCGTGTTGCAGGCGTTCTCTCAGATACGCACACACACATGCATAAGAAAATATATATATATATATATAGAGTTAGCATATATCTAGCCATAGATGATAGAGATATATAGAGCGTATATAGATCAAACCTCGGGTCGCCACAGAAGCTTTAGCCTGGCAGGAGCTTTCGATTCTTATTCTTATTAGTTTATTAGTTGTTTTAGTTTAGTTAGTAGTTCCTTTGTTTTGTTTTTATTTAGCCATTAGTTGGATAAGAACTATGAATCATAAACGACGGAGAAGTGCTTTCTCCAAAAAACCGAATGAAAAAAACCACAAAATATTACAAACTGATGTTTTTGTTTTGATTTTTGTATGATTTTTGTGTTGGTTTTGGTGTTTAAATATTTAAAAGGATTTATTGATTTTGTTATCCTTTACTGACCTACATAGGTCAGTGTGAGTATGTATTTGAGTGTGTGTATGAGTGCGTGAGTGGGTGGCTTCGCTTTTTATATCCCAACATATTCCTCATTGTGTCGCCAGGCTGGCTTGGCAGCTTAATTAACTTTGGCGTACTATGGCGTGTCTGGCGCACATCGATATATAAATATGTATAAGAGTCCTGATCATAAATATCCTGCTGGCAAATACTATATACAAATATATATGTAGAGGGTATACCTAAGACACGCAACTTTCAGAGAGAATTTAAAATGACGGGACACCCACTATTGACACTACTTTGGCAGGCCATTGAGTTGGGATTCCGGTCTCAGGCCTACCGCTCGCCCAATAATCCCTGCCACTGCCCCTCCTTAGCATTCCGATAAGTCCCAGGCCTCCAACGCGTGCCGCATTCAAGCTTCCCATTTGTATTGATTTTGCACCTCCGGCTCTCCTTTGGAATTCGGTCTATCCTTTGCCAGCCTACACTGCGCACAGCTGACGCTCTTCCTCCTTGAGCGAGGAGGACCTCTCCAACTTTCACTCTCCCTTTGACTTTCACTTTCCCAGCCGAAGAGCCTTTCTCTTCCTCCCGTTTCTCTTTGGTAGTGTTGGCACGTGTCTCTTATGTACAAAGTTCCCGGGTTCCAGGCGGGTCTGGGCCTACTGCTCCACCACGGTAGCTTTTTTATGGCCAACACGAGCCTACCACCCACTACTAGCCACTCTGGGGGCGGACTTTTGCGTCACGGCTGGTGCGGCTCTTTTCCGTAATGCGAAGGTTTCCTGCATTAATGAATCCTGCCGACCGTCGTCCTCCGTGCGGCGTAATTGGCTGCAGCATCTACCCGCCGGAATCCCAATTTGCATTATTCTCAGGCGACACATGTGTGTATTAGTATGAGTGTGTGTGCCTACGTGGTTAAATATTTGCTGCCTACTTAGAGGGGCTTCTATGCATCATTTACTTTATTTACTTTTTGTTTTGTGTTGTTTTGTTCTGTTTGCCAGGCCAGGAAAGGAACAGCTTCACGGGAACATTAAAACAAATAGGAAAAATAGTTGAAATTTGCCAGATAGAACCGATCGTAACCGCATCTACCTCGTGTGGCAAAATAAAAAATATCGAACGAACAACTGAAACTGAAACCGAAACTACCTCCGGATCAGCCAGCAATATTAACGCAAATATATAGATAAACACCTCAACGAAACAAATGCCAAAACAAAATATTAAAGAAAATAAACCAAGGCGCCCATTTAGGAAATTTTATTGTTAGAAAAAAGAAAATGGAAAATGAGAAGCAATCTGTAGAGAAACTAAAACTAGACAAATAGCTGACAACTTAGCATATACATTATATATATATAGTATATATTCCTCTCGATAATCACTTACAGTCAGAGCTCCAGAAATGGGGCTGACTTGAGAATGTATTTGAATAATTATGAATAGCCCGAAAAGACTGCGAGCCGAAAACTCTGAAAAATTATATACACATAGCGCGGAACTTATATACATAGATCTAAGCATGAATGTAAATAGGAACGAGGAAGGCTAGAACACCAGACAACTCTAAAGGAAATAAAAATTAATCGATGTGGCTTTAACTAAACTAAACTAAACAGTAGGGTGGTAGTCAGTAATCGTCTGCCTAGTACTTAGCTATGATATCGAGAATATATATAGGATTAACGAGAGCCCCCAAGCAAGTCAAATTCGAATCGACTAACGATAACAATAACAATAACGACTTTGTATTAGATGATCACACAGATCCCAATCACGTTTAGTTCAATTGCATTATTCGCGTTATGTACAAGGATCAAAGATGGATTGGCATAGGAAATCGGAAATCGGATATTGGAAATGAGATGGGAAGTTGGGTAGCTTTATCGACATGGAGTGCAAAATCGAGTATCGAACAGAAAGTACATACAATACCACAAATATACCACATATACCTCAGTACATGCATAAGTACGATCGTGTAGTCCGTCGAGGGCATCACGCCCTCCACGGCTCTTACTTACATACCTCGTGTATACATATAAACATTAACTAAAATATACATACATACCTACCTAAGCCTAAAGCATTAACCTAAACCTATTCCGACTTTTGATAGTTCAATACACCTTAGTGAATGTTGTGTGCGACCCTTTGATAAACGAGCGTTTTTTACTACCTCCAGTTCTTGTTGTGTGTGTCTCGCATTTATAGCAAAGGGAATTAACTAAACTAGAACAGCCCAGCAACTAATCTAAAGCCTAAATTCTAAAACCTAAATCCTAAACTAGACTAAACTAAACTAAATTAAAAGCTAGCACAAGTCTAGGGCAATTAAATTAAACTAAAAACTATAAATTAAAAACTAAATGTTGTGTAATTTTTATAGTCTACTTATGTGCGTCCGCAGCAATACAAATTAAAAGAAATACATACCTCGGAAAAAATGCTTCAGTAAAGTAAATCGACAAAATAAAGAGTAAATTTAGTGCAATTTTGTGAGTCATCCCCAATCCCAGATCCCCAATACAGATTTATTAGCCATGTGAGCGAATATACAATATATTTGGAAACACAACACTGAACACAGACACACGACATATCCGTTTACTATAGCTCTTGATTTAGTCAACTCATCATAACTGAAAAGGATAAAGCAAGGATGTGGCAAAGTCAAGGCGAAGGTGACGAGCACTTTGTGCGCCATTGCAGTTGATTTGGCGGCTGGCTGATTTTGATTAATGCTCCAGCTCTGGAGCTCCAGCTGAAGAGTCATTCCCTCCTGCCAGTTGTGAAGTTCATTCGGAGTTCTACTCTTGCTCTCGTTTCGCCTTGATTAATTGACCAGACATTATGTAAAATTATATTATGATTGCTGGCAGTAGCAGAAGCACCAGCAACAGGTTGCAGTGGCAATGTAACCTTTCGCCCTGCGACTCATTTGTCAAAGTGGCAAGCACTAAATGAAGAGTCATTTTCATGGGGCATTACTTTTATTTGCCATGCCAACAAATCTCTTGAACCTTTCGCCTTTGGCAGGCCTTTCGCCTTTAGAGACACAAAACACCGAGAATACCTCCAGACCCACACACACACCACAGGTTTAGTGTAATTCAAACCCAAAAAAAAAAGCATAGAGCGAAACTAGCCTTGAATTAGACTCGAATCGAATCGATCAGCTAAGTAAGGCCACAAAACTAGTGTTTAAACGCCGCAAAGTATGCAATATTATACATATATACACCTATATACATTAATAAATATATATATACAAGATACAAGATAAAAAAAGATACAAGATGTCAAGCAACTTATACATATACATGCGAATGTAGTACGATACGATATGTCATCTGATATGATATCTGGATTATAAAGTATTTTAATAAACTTTTAATAAATATTTTAGTAAATCCAATAAAAGAATAAAGTCAAACCCCAAACAACTGACACAAGGATATATATGTCTATGAAGGAGATAAGGATATCAGTTACTGGTATATTGTGTTTTTATCTCAAGGAGGTGGGGTATTCGACTGGCGGGTGTTTAGAACTTTTCCCATCTTTTTGGTTATCCGCAGAGTTTTCGATTTATGTGCATACATTGGCCCGGCCCTCGAGCATATTTGTATTGACAGGCCATCCAGCCTGGGAATTGATTAATCTCCATTGTATATATTGTATTTGCCTTGGACCGATCCACCCATCGACCCACCGACCGACTGACTGGCAATTTATTAAAATCTTTTGATTGGAATAAATGATGCTGCCAGCTAATCAAGTTGCCTGGAACTTGAGTATCCGACTTCATTATTGTTTTCTTGTCCCTGTTTTATTCCCTTTAGTAGGATACAGCACTTAAGTATGCCAAGCACACAAATATACATATATTATATATATATATGTGTTTATATAACTTTCCCTCTTATCTTTCGGGTGTGCCTGAGATTTTCACTTGTCTGCCCAAATTTAAATCTTTCTTTTCTGCCTGAACTTGAGCCTCTAAATAAATGACAAATTTTCGTCACACACGAGCGCTGAGACGAAATTAAATTCCGCACAAGCGTCGGCCCCCAAAATATGCCTGACGAAAATTGCATTACGTATACGCCACGTTGTCGTCTGACTGCTCCACTTGCTATGGCTTGGCTTGGCTACGAGTTGCTCAAGTTTATTGTTTATTGATTTCCTGGGAGCCGCTTCAGTTTCCAATTTCAATTTCACCTCGTTACGAATCCTTTCGTGCCTGCAGCAATTGCGTTTCAAGTGTTTTTCAACTCCCAGGAGTCGTTGCGCAACGGAGTCGAATTTAAACGTCCTGCCCCACCATAATGGTGGCTGTGCGGCACATTTGTTGCCTACTTTAGCCCCAATTATTATGCGGTGACAGCAGATTTTTCTGCAGAAATTTTCCTGCAAAAGTAAAAGGCCCAAAGTTTAGCTGTAATTGCTTTTGTTGTGTTGTAGGGGACGCAGTTGGGCGTGGCACGTGTAGCACGTTGAGGCGTCGATGAAATGCGATGCCATAAAAAGCAAAAATCCAATTAGTCGGCTTTAAACGACGGGCCTGCACAGCTCAGCAGAATGCCAAGGAAATCCGCCATAAAGTCGCAGAAGAACCAGCAAGGATATCAAAGGAAGGCGGAACAATGCGGCAGTAAGAAAACGAAATGGCAGCGACGCAGTTCTGCCAATTATTATAATGCTTTCCCCGGAAACCTTTGTGTCCGGCGGTGTCTTCTATCTAATAGTTTCGTTTTACTTGCCAGCCATTCCCTTTTAATAATTTATTAGAGAATATTAGGCAGAAGGCAATGCCCAAAATTGAGCCAGAGACCTTTGGCAGGTCTCTTCTGCCTGGACTGCCTGTGCTATACAATATATCAAACAATAAACCTATTACACGGCTCCTTCACTTGGCATTTCTGAAGGTGGCAGTGGGAGGCATCGATGTCCTCGGGGGGCTGAGCGCGTGCCATCAGAATTTTTCACCATTTTCGTTACGCATACGCCCCGTAGCCGACAGGCTTGCTTACAAGGAACATGTTTTCTCGGCTATTACTATACCCCGAGGTGGGAGTATTTATTATTTTCGTTCTGTTTCCAAGACAGATCTCTTGCCTTTCACTTTTCTTTGTTCAATGTCTTGTTTGTTCATCGCTCAACTTTCAGCACTTTCGCTTTCAGTCTATAATTTCTGCAATTTGTGATTGCTGCAATGGGTCGGGGCGGGGCTGTGTCAAGTTCAATAGACTGCACTTGAACCCTTGTCCATTGGTCATCATCACAGCACTAAAGTAGGGGTAATTTTTGGCATATTTGCGAGTATCTTCGTCATGGGCCGCTGTCAGAGAAACACTCCAAAAATAAGTCAATCAATTCAGACTTAGTTGGTCGGAGCTAAGTTCCAAATACTCTTCATTACTTTCAGTGTATTCCAAATGCAGGCGGCAGCTTGACAGCCTTCGAAACTGATATATTCCCCACTTCCTGTCACTTTTTATGTCTGGCGGGACAGAGACTCCACTGGTTACTGTGACTGGTCTCCGTGGCTGAGTGGGGGCGTTCTTTGTGTCAATCCGAAATCCACATCATAATAATGTCCCGCCGCTGGATTCTGTTTCACTGGGAGAAGTCGTACTGCTCGAGCAGCAGGACCCATTCCCAAGCATCATTAAAATATGATTTATTACAGGCTTCTGTAATTTATTCGGCTTCCATCTCTCTCCCCTTGAATGCTTTTGGTTGGACACTTTCCCAGCATGGCTTTTCACTGCTTTGCTTTCCCGGGGCTTTTCCACTGGGACCTAGGTCTTGAGCCTCTTCGAGTGACTTTAAACATCTTCATGACTCCGGAATTAGCCCAGTTTTTCTGCTCGATTTTCGCCAGGTTTCATCGAGTTAATAGCTGTGGAGGCAGGGAATTTGCATAGAAATAGAAATAGTAGCGAGGGAGGAACAGTACAGGAATGTTTCATACCCCTGGGAGTGTCAGTTCGATGGGGATTTTGGGAGTAATTAAGCTGCAAATTGGTTAATTTAATTTACGCAATGATTACGCTACTTAAAATTTAATTGTAATTTTAATTGTAAGCGATTTACGTTATGAATACCAATAGGTTTAGATTTAAAGCAAGCCAGTTATGAAAATCGATCCATTAAAGACAAATTGTAATAATAATCATTTTTCTTAAAGAACCTTTCAGAGCTGTGTGGTGTTTTCATGATTCATTATCATTATTATTAAATATACTAATTTAATTTTTGTTGTATTCTCTTTTCTATCCATTCCCCATAAAACAGGACTGTGAAACCGAACCAATGATGATAGATGACAACTCCCTGGACCAGTCCCCCAATTTGGGAAAATATGGCATTCCTCTGCACTGCCACACTTCCACATCTGCGGTGCTCAGGAATTACAACAATAATCCACTAATCAGCGGCACAAACTTCCAACTGTCACCAGTTTTCGGAGGCTCCGATGCCGGAGGTGAAGGCGGTGACAACGATGCAGGATCTGTGGTGTCCTTGGACGATTCGGTGCCGCCGGGCTTAACGGCCTGCGACACAGATGCCTCCAGCGACAGCGGCATCGATGAGAACAGCCTGGTGGATGGGGCATCGGGGTCGTCGCCTCGCAAGAGGATTCCTGGAAACACCAGTGCCAGTGAGTTGGGTGAACCCACCGCACCACCGCCCCTCGAACAGCAGCAGGAGGAGGAGCTAGAAGGAGCCGGCAGTAACAATGCCCCGAGCAGGAAGACATCGATATCGTTCCTGGACAGCAGCAATCCTCTGCTCCACACACCGGCAATGATGGACCTGTGCAACGACGACTACATCATGGGCGAGGGCGGCTTCGAGTTCACCGATAACCAGTTGGAGCAAGTCCTGGGCTGGCCAGGGATTGCCTAGAGAATCGTTACAGCTTAGCATGCATTTTCACAAAGGACCTTTTATTTTCGTTTAGTTTGAGAGGAGGAAAACATTGAAATTAGACGGTGAATCGAAGATAAAGCTAACCAAAAGATTGACTTTGAGCCTTGCAAGAAAGTAGGACTACCCCCCGCACAACGAAACCTGACAAGACCATCCCCCAACACCCTCAAAGGACACCCAAGCTAACCTATGACCCGAAACAGAAAAAAAGGAAAAAAATAAACAGGAAGGGTTAAACACATTGGAATAGTTTTGTAGCCACGTTAACTGCCTAGAACAGAAGAATATACATGTATGTAATTTAGTCTTAAAGTTTTTTCTCCATGCAGACCATTTACCCAAAAAATATGGAAAAAAAACAAGAAAAAAGCGGGTTATCAATGCTAAATGGAAAAACAGAGAAAAAAATATCTTTTACAAAACAAATTTTAAAAAAAATGTTCATAGTTTTTGCTGGAAGGCTCAAACAAGTTTTTGGTGATGGTTGTATTCTTTTTATAACTTTCAAGCGCAAAAGCTGTGACGACAAAAAAAAAGTTTTTGATCATGTTTTACAAATATTAAAAAAAGAGGAAAAAAAACAAAAAAAAAATTTATAAAAATATGTAAAACTTAGTTTTTTAAGTAATTATTTTCAATGTTTTCAAGTACTACATACAACACAAATTTGTAGTAATTATAATATTTTAATTTTAATAAGTAAAAGTTAAGTAAAAACATCTATCCGTTTCTTTTGATCTTAACTTCAGGATATAATATACTTTGTGCATTTCTATTAATTAACTTTGTGTCGATCATATTTTTCAATCACTTATCGATTTCTCTTGACTATTTCGATTACCGATTCTTTTATGTAAACTAGTTTTAGTTCTGTTTAAGGCGCATCATACAAAACAAAATGTTTGCTTGCTTAAATCCAAATTCAATCAATGTTCAGTGTTTTAATTCAGTTTGTTTTTAATTTTAATTGGCAAATAAATATAAAAATAATTCAATGAAAGTTGCATGCAGAAAAACTATTAAAGTTTTGTTATTTTGGGTGGCTGGTGAAATTCTTTTTCAGGATTTAAAGATTATAAGCGAAAAGATGAAATAAGTAATATCTACAAACTACCAGATGTATTTGGCGCCATCTACTGGTATTCGAGAGAAGCAAGATACATACATTAGAGTGTAACGTGTATTATACATGTAGAGAACAGGTACACGTTTATTACAATTTGAATGAAATAGCTGTTGAGGGTCTTAAAATAGTTAAAGCACTATTAAAAGTATTCTAATTTTGAAGCTATGCTCTTAGACAAGTAGTAAGTATGTAGGGTAAGTATTTGAAGCCTAAATTCCTATTTAAATTGGACATTATTGCGCACTAGCTCCAGAATTTTCTCCTCGGGGACAGACCATTTGCATTCTGGATATTTGGCAGAGCAGTGATGTATTCCAGCAACCTTTCCCGCATCGATGGCCTCTCGGAAGGCAGACTGTTCCAGCAAGGACAACAGCCAGGACCAACTGGTAGCATTGTCCAGCAATTGCTCTATATCCGTAGCCTCACCCTGGCGAACCCGGTCGCCTGCCTTGCGTGTCAAAGTACAAATGGATTTAAGAAGGCAGGTGGAAAGATCAACATCGTTTTTGATAAAGGTTCTCTCAATAGTGCTTAAAATATTTGGAAGGCTGGTGGCTAAAAAAATTTAAAAATTAACTAAATAAATAAAGAAGATAGTTAAATATTTGACTTACCCACGCGATCTCCAGTTTCATTTTTGTAAACTAACTTAAAGTTTTCGAATATTTTTGGCAGACCAAAGTCATTTTCAAACATACCCCGAGATGTGGCATTACCAGAACTGGGTGGAGGTATTGTGGTAGTTGTCACTTCTTCGGAGGACTTGGGCTTGTGATTGCTGGAATTTCCGAAAATGGGACGATGAGCATCTCCTGTGATGGCCTCCAGACCCAAACTGCGTATTAAATGACCCACAAAAATACCTCCTGCTGCCACAAGTCCACAGCTAAGCAAGGCAGCGGAATTTACAATCACAAGTGGCTAAAAAATGTTTTAAATTTCTTAATCTATAAAAAAATAAAATAATTTATCTCACCTTTGGTGGAGCATTTCGCTTTCGCTTGACAGGAACCTCGAGAAAAGGCACCAGATAGTCCAGGCCCAGAGCAATATTCTTACCCACGGCATCGAAGGATATGATCTTGAATCCTTGGCCAGGCTGTTGTCTTGGTAGCTTTGAAGCTTCTGTTTCTTCCTGCTCCTCTGACTCCTCTTCTCCGCTGGCGGCCCAAATAACGGCAAAGCTGGCCACGAGAACACAGGTGAGATACCAAAGTTTCATTTTTCCGCCAAGAGATCCGTCCGGGTAGATGGCTGCCGAGCATTTGAATCAATTTCCCAGTCGGTGTCACCAACAAAACTCTTCTTTCTCTTTTACCAAAATGTTTTCCACTTCGATGAGTAGTCTTCTGTGCATTTCGAGAAATTACTTACATTTTATATGAAGTTTTAAAGATAATATATTATTAATAAAAAAATTGTTTCAAAAATAATCATTATATTCTTCATCATACGGTTTGTAAGCCCTTTTAAAAAGTATTTAAAATTATTATTTAATAAAATAAATATATAATAAAATATTTTTCTAAGTGTATTGCCGCTTGGCTGCCCTCTGCCTGCAACAATTTTAATATTTGACTCTAGTTCCCACTCTTGTCTTTTGTCGCAAAATGCAACAAAGTAGGGGAAGTGTGACATAAGCAGCTCGAAGGTGCGAAAACGATTAGCCGAGGGAAGTATCGGGCCAGATGAAAGCGGAAGATACGTATTATGACTACCTTTACTAATTTGGAGAAAATTAATCCAATTTACCGGCATTTTCATTACATAAGAAAATAAGAGTTTGCAGGAAAAACTATCCAGAGAAGTTGCTCTTGAAAATGAAGAATAATTTTAGGTTTTTGTTTTCTACTTTTATTTATTAATAAATAAATCGCTTACAGTTACTGATAAATAAATTAAATATTAACAACTACAGAATAATTTTTAAGATCTAGTTGTTATCCATTGAAGAATTTCATTATTTGGGGTATAGCACCTCCCGATGTCCAGTGGTTCTGCCAACGACATTGATGATAAGTGTGACTGCAACTTCGATTGTTTTGTGAAGTCTCGATGGCATGGAACACCGCTGTTCCATTCACATATGGATGCAGCCAAGGTGCACTGAAAATAATATTTTAATATAGTGTTATGGCCTTTATTATCATAAAATATAATTTACTTAGTTAGCACATTAAGAACCCTGGAGTATCCGACGGAAAGGTTCTTCTGCAGATATTGGCAGAGCCAACGCTGTATGCACACGGACATATCAATATTATGCTCCTCCAGCTGGGATTCCACAACATCGGTTAGACGACGCACTAAGGATAGAGTTAGATAAACTTTTGCTCTATTTTAGACTTATTCCTGATTACTTACTGCCTCTTTCTGAGTCCGATTTGTAGCCATATCCATTACCTATGCTTGTAACCACTAGAGGCGCCAAAACCAGACGCACCACAGCAGCTATTACTGCTCCGGCAGCCACCACAACAGCTGTATTCAGGATTGCTCCTGTTCTCAGGTTTAAAATACTCTGGACTGCATCGCGGGCCAAATTCATGCTCCTCTTGACCGGAATTTTGGCAAACGGTACAATGAACTCCAGTTCCACGCTGACATCCTCGCCACTGGCATGGAAGTGGAAGCCTCGTCCTTCACGGTAGCCTTCGCGATTCTCCATTTCCGGAATTTCGATCTCCAGATGTCGGGGTTCAAAGTCACGAAATCTAAACCATCTGGTGCCTGTTGAGTTTCCGTACAATTCTCCATAGTTCGAGATGATAACATCCGATCTCCCATCAACGCTTTCTCCATGGTAACCCATTAACAGAAATAGGCCAAAGTACAAGATCCGAACCAACCACATGATGTGGCCTCGTTGCCGGCTAGGAGGCGACTGAGCTTGGCTCGAAAGAGTCGCAGAACTACATGGCCCACGCTCCGGCAACCATGCCATGATATTCATTTAGCCAGAAAAGCCAGAAACTAAAAGCGTAAGACGGAGGCTCGACTTTAACGCTTCGTGTAGTGCGATTTTCTGGGACTTGCTTAGGGAAATGGGCAACGATTGATTGAATAACGATAAGAAATTTTGCAAAGAAAGGACAAGGAAAGCCAAACATGCCAACTTAAAGAAGTGATTCAACAAGTTTAAGCCAACATCTGATAGAGCTTCTGGAAGAGCACAGGCAACAGTCCGGAACGAAAAAATAGGTACAGGGAATGCAATGAAAACTCAACCTATTAGAAAGACATTTGTGAAAAACTGTGGACTGGAAAATTTGCATATTGTCTCTGCTTATACAATCATATGCCGTTGATAATGTACCAAAGGTTAGATAAACAAAAGTTGGATTAAGCAATAAGAGCACTCATAGTAAGTATCTTGGAAGTTGAGAGGGCGTTAAAGTGTTAAGGTTAGATAAACAAATCAGAGTTGTGTTGGTGTTATGACCTTATGTGAGAAAAGTTTGGAAGATATGACCATGAATTATATGTTATTGTCTTCAGCACCGAATAAAAACCAAAATTTACAAATTTCTCGTTTATTTAAAACTAGAAATTTTACATGAATACTTATTTGTCGGGACATGGTTGGCTTATGGATAGGATAATGGTTGGCTACAGTCCTGTGATGATGATGGAAATGGGTTTTATCTACATCTGCAGGTCTGAGGAGTGTGGCACCAGGGTGTTGTCGAAGCGTACCATCCTCCGGGTCCTGCGCTGGATCTTCTTCCGCTCGAGCATATTCTCTAGCTCCCTAGCCCAGGGCTCCCGGCGCTGGGGAGCTGTTGGTGGAAAAGCAGCTCTATCCAGGAGCTTCATGTGGGTGCCGCTCAGTGGAAGCTCAGAGTCTGTAGAATAATCCGGTGGTTTGTAATTCTGTGGACCCATGTAACGGTAGTGAGTTTTCCGGGATTTCCTTCCGGGGTAGCGTGACAGTTCGTGAGGTAAAAATTCTTCTATGGGCTGCGGAACGAAGCCTCCAGCCTGACGCTTCTTTGCTGGCTTTTTCTGGGTAGGATTCTTCATCCTGGGAGTTTTCGGTGGGGGGTCTATGACACCCTTGCCGTAGATCCAAGTGTGGGGCTTTTGGCGTTCGCCCATCACACAGCCGCAGAATTGGGCCAGAGAAGTCGGTGGATGAGGGAAGCTGCTCGGATGGGCCCAGTCATTCTCGTCGTACTGGGTCTCCGTGTGCTTAATGTGAGAGCTCTTCAGCCGCTCCGGACGCATAAGGCCAGCTGGCGGCGTGACCCCGAACTCGAACTCTGCCTCGCTGTCCGAGGTCTCCGATAAGACTAGGTCATCCTCGCAGGAGTCCATCTTTCGCTGCTCGCACTCCTTCCGCAAATGGTAGATCAGACGCTTCTTGTCCACGAAACTCCGGCAGTAGCACTGCATCACCGGCTTGTGGCAGGTGCACTTGCTGAAGCCTATACCCTTGAGGCACCGCTTCAGATCACGCAGCTCCTTCATCAAGGGGTTCTTCACGATCCGGAACTGGACGGGCTTCATCTTGACATATGGATTGGCAGACTTTGCCAAGGTTGCGGCATCTTTCAAGGGCCTCAGGGTGATGGTGAAGATGTCGTTCTTCTTCTCGATATGCAGCGTGGGCACTTGCACCAGATTCTCTTTCTTTTCCGGCGGCGGAGTCCTTGGTCCATTTTTGTTCTTGTAGTACGACATGTACTTGGACACGGGTATGCTGTCTACCGGGTAGTCGACCAGGAAGTAGCTCATCAGGTCGCGTATGGAGCGCCTAATAGCTCCTGGTCGCCAGCCAGGCTTGGAGGCCAGCGGATGGGCCGTCCACAGCCAGCCCATGTGGCCGGGTATCTTTGTGCTCTCGGGGAGGCAAGGTGGCTTGCTGGGTCGCTCCCTAGGCTTGTACATGGAGTAGTAGCGGGACTTGTATGGTAGTTTTGGCTTGCGCCTTCGTCTCTTTGGCGGTTTGGGGTCTGAGCAGGGGTCCTTTTCTGACTCAGCCGCTACTCCACCTTGTTTCCGATCCGCAGCCACACGATGGCTCTTGGATTTTTTACCGTGCAACCTGGCCATGTTGCAGGCTTCATTGCATATGTCCTGGATCTTCTGGTTCTTAGCTTCCTCTGTGGTCTTCGCTTTGAACAAGCTCTTGAGCTCGGCAAAGACCTTGGCCAGGTTTGGCGGCTTCTGCTCCTCAACTGGCTCTGGATTGATTGGTTTTTGAACAGCGGACTGACATGCTTTCATCCTTGAGGATTCGCGAATGCTTCGTTTCAGTAGCTGATAGTCCCGCACCACCGCTTCAAAGGCTTCCGAGGTACGATCGTTTTCCATTTGAACTTTCTGCGCGGGACATCCTTCCACAGAGCCCATATCGAAATCCTCCGCCTGATTGTCCAAATGGTCGTAGAGAATCTTCTCAGCCGTGGCTTCCTCGTCGTAGGGCTTCTCCATGAAGTCTGGCACAGCCTTGTACCCACAGTACGGACACGCCGCTACCTTGGGCATCCAAGAAACGTCTTCGCCGCAGAGCATACAGGACTTGATGCTGCTTATGTGCATCTGCTTGAGGATTGGCGACGACACCTTCTGACCCAAGCGGTTGATGGTTCCTTCACCCAATGGCGATTGCATATCGGCGGAGAACTGGGCCGACGGCCCTGGGGGAGAGTCGAAAGTCAAGCAGAAACCGTCGTCCTTGGGGCATTTGCGGACGGGAAAGGGTCCTGCCATGTCAACAAGCCTTCCATCTTCAGCCTGAAAGGTTAATGGGTTATATGCTGAAAAAATCGTCGATCTTCAAGATTCTGTGTTTATATGATACCTGGGCAGCGCAGAAATCGGGATTACAGGACGGTGCAGAGGTCTTGGGCTCCATAAAGGCCGCATCCTCGGGGTCCACGTTGGTTTCTATGTTTTTATTGCAAGATCCGCAAAGGGTTTCTTCGTTGAGGCTGGAGGAGCTGGCGGAGGAACTGCACGGCTCTTCCTGCGTCTGCAACGTGGAGCCGCCGCAAAGCCGGACATCCGCGATTTCGGAGGATGGCCAGGAGAAGGTACTCCTGGGAGCTCCACTCCTACAAGAACTGCCACACTCCCGCAGATCGTTGACTTCCGCGGAGGTCCACGAGCGACTTCTATCCAAACATCGAGACCAGGTACCAATCGTGCTCCTAGTCTGGGGGGAGGAACTGCCACCATCTTGGCCGCCCGCCAACCGTTCCGCCCATCCATGTTCCGCAACTCTATTGTAAGTTCAGGGGCGATCGCATTCAGGCAGCTGGAGGTTCAGGCCCACATGGAGCGTACTTACTGTAAGTTTTGGCACTTCATCAGCAAGGAAATGCGGACGCGACAAAAGCCGACGGTGCACCCCTTGCAGGTGAGTTCCACCTCTCCGTCATGGACGATTTCCGAGAGGTTGTGGGTCATGCGGTATATGACTGCATCTGGTATGAAATAGCAGCCTCGACCTAATAGGGTGTTTGCCAAGTAAATCTCTGACGATGCTCTTATCTAGGAGGGTAGTCTCACCTATTTCCTTCCTCATGTAGACAAGTGCTATGTTTATGCCCTCCATAAGTTGCCTTTGCAGGCACTCGGGCTCCATGGAGAACGTTGCAGACATCTCGTTGGGCAGGCAGTTCACATTGATGCGGCTCGCATCCAAAACCACTTTGCATCCCTTGCAGACATTCACCCGGATCTCCAGTTGATCCCGGCACTCAAACTCCCACCCGGGCATGTCCAATTTTTGGCAGACTATGTTGCAGGCAAAGCAGTTCATGTAGGGCTTGTTGGCCTTGCCCTTTTGGCCCTTTGATGGACACTTTGGAGTGTAGACATTATCCCGATCCTTCACAGGGCAGCCAGAGCAGCAGATGGGTTTCTTTGGAGACTTTTCCTGCTCGGCCTTACTCTTCTTAACCGAGCAGGTCATGTACTCATCCTTAGTTTTGGTCATTTTGTAGCTTATCTTGGCCCCATTCTTCCAGTAGGAGTCCCAGTTTATCTGGGGCTTCTCATCCACTGGCTTGGGTGGCGGTGGCTTCTTATCCATCTGCAGCTGCGCCTCCTCTGCGGCCTTGTTTTCGGCCGCCTTGTCTGCCATCGTAGTCGCTGATTATTCGATATCGTCCACGAGTATAAAAAATTTCGTTGCACAAATAATTTTAAATATCTATCGCGAGCAATGCCACAAAAAATTCACATAAATGAAACTAATTTATACGGGGCCTGGGCCTGAAGCGATCGACCTGAACTTTCAATAGAGAATGAGAAAAGTAGAGAGGAAGTTTTCGAAGTAGGGTTGAAATTTAAACTCAAAGCATTCTTTGTTTGTGAATTTTATTTTGAGGAGTATAAATTTCAATGGTTACTATAGGTTTTGGTAAACATGGAAACTATTCATACTTTTAATATTAAAATTTACCTCCCATTTAAAAAAAAAATCAATCACATTGTAAAATACCCATCGAATTCTTTAAAAATAAGCCCAAAACATTTTTTAAATTTCAAATCGAAACCTAAGAGGAACTTCTTAGCTTATATTTCAGCCGTTTCGTATTACAATTTCCTATTCGGAATTGCAAAAGGAAAAACTTTTACTATCTTTACTGTTTTATCTTGATTTCGGTTAATATCGACCAAAAATTGTATACTTCAGATAGAGATCGAAGGGAAGCTTAAAATCTATCCATGAAATTTTATTTGCATATTCTAAAATTATTTAAGGGAATTCGCCATAACTTGGCTAATATTTGACGGATCGACCAACGGTATGCCTTTCCTTTCTTATTTCTTCAAGTAGCATCAATATTTATCAAAACCTGCGCAACTAAAATTTGACCCAATTTTCGAAAATTTTCAAAGGGGTAACATCATGATTTTGGCCAAAAATCTACCCAAAATTTAATTTCTCGATTTTCACAATATTTTGGTTCAGGTCGAAGCTACTAGGATCCCTGATTTGTAAATGGTGTTCCTTTTACTTATCCGATACGAATTGGCTGAAATATTGACTAAAAGGTGTTTCAAAATCTCGCATTTTAGCCACCCAATAATCCTTACTTGGTCAACATGGTGACTATAGATTTTTTTCAGGGAAAGTGCAATATTTTTGTCAAAAATAATGCGATTGGCGAAGGTCGTACCTTCTCAATCTTGTATCTTCGAGTACTATTACCCACAATCAAAACATGTCAATCTTAAATTTTTACCCAATTTTCGAAAATTTTCAAAGGGGTAACATCATGATTTTGGCCAAAAATGTATCCCAAATTTTATTTCTTGACTTTTATGAACTTTTATTGCAAATTGAAGGCTGTTTAAACTATGAGTTGATAATGATATTCCCTTTTAAAATCCAATGATGAATAATAAAAATATTGAAAAGTCATCACTCATTTTTCCACCCGATGGAATAAATCGATGCGATAAATCTTCGAGAACTAGCCTTCAATAATATATACCCAAATATATACCCAAATAAAAACAGTTACCATAGAAGCTTCTATAATTTTATTTTAAGAGCTAAGCGCCAGGCCAGCGGTCAGATTAAATTTAGAAACGTAGTTGGAACAAACTACATCTGATATTTAGTACATTTTCACATTTTCTGGATAGTTCGATTTGTGCCAAGGCCTGTTAAGAGGCGTAGGGTTGTTGAAGTATTGGGGGTCTACAAAACCACCTTTAGCTCTGTGGCCTCCCAAAGGTATTCTTTCCTTCTTCTTTGGCTTGTTCCTCATCTTGGGCTTCTTGGGCGGGGCATGAATGTTTCCCTTCCCAAAGAGCCAGGGGAAGAAGTTCTTGCGCTCTCCCATGGCACAGCTGTCGAACTGGACGAGCATGCTGGCCGGATGGGGGAACATATTGGGTGCAGCCCAGTCCGTGTCCATGTACTGGGTTTCTGCGTGGGCTCTGTCTGGCCTGCAATTACGTTCGGGCTTGATGACGCCAGCCGGCGGAGTAACCCCAAACTCGTACTCGTTTTCACTCTCATCGTCGTCACTATTGGTGGAGTAGACGAATGTATCCGAGTTATCCTGCCATCCTCGTTGTTGGCACAGCTTCTCCAGTTCATACTGAATCCTCTTCTTGTCGATATGAGACCGACAGAAGCAGCTGGCCACCGGACGTCCACAGCTGCAGGGGGCAAATCCCTTCTCCTGCAGCGACACTTTCATCTCCCGCAGGGCCGCTGCCATGGGGTCTTTGGTAATCCGGAACACCACTGGCTTCATATTAGCGTACGGGTTAGCACTGACGGCCAGCGATCTGGGGTCCTTTAGAGGACGCAAGGTAATGATGTACTCATCGCCTTTGCGGCTAATATGGAGAGTGGGGTGCTGCACGAGCTCCTCCTCTGGATCCTTGGGCTCGCACCTGCGGCGCCGATAGTGATAGCGCGATAGGCACAAGTTATCCAAGGGATAGTCCTTGAGGAAGTAGGCCATCATCTGGCGGATGGGCTTGGAAATGGCACCGGGCCGCCAGGACTTGTAGCGAGCCATTTCGCACTTGGTCCACATCCAGCCCATGTTGCAGGGCACTTTGCAGTAGCCGGTATAGCTGCTGTCCGTAATGCAGTCCACATGACCTATCCGGGGCTTGGGAGCACGGGGTTTAGACTTCAGGAAGGTGTAGCTAAAGGAGAGAATTAAGTAACTTAGTCTAAGAGTAAATGTTGAAACCTACTATTTGGAACGGGGGCGATGTTTCTTTTTTCTGCTACTCATCTTGGGTGGTTTGGGATAGGCCAGGTCGATTTCCTTGAGGGCTTTAGCCAAGGACCTCCTGGCTTTCCTCCGAGCCTTGGCCGACTTGGTGTTGTAGCATGCGGCATCGCACTCCTTTTTCTGTTTTTCCGCCTGAGCCTCCTCCTCGGAGGCTCCTTTCTTTCTGCTGTACATGTTCCGCATTTCCGTGAAGATGGATATAAGTTGCTGTTGTCGCTGGGAGGTCGTCGAGGGGGTTTTCTTCGGCACCATTTCAACTTTGGTGACCGGAGATGCCTGGGCTTGGGCCTGAGGAAGGATCTGGGCCTTGCACTCGCCTTCCTTGAAAAAGTTGTCACAGAGCTTGCGGATGCGACATCGGGTGCATGGCTTCCCACCCATGCAGCCACAGGTTTTCGGCAGATTGGGATCTTCTTGATTTCCCAGTTGCCTAGCAGCAACCAGATCGTCCTTATCCTCTTCGCTGGAACTGTTTTTGCATTTTTCCTTGCGAAGACAGTCCCTCAGCAGCTGCTGGGCCGTGGCAGTAAGATCGTACTCTTCCTCACTGGGCGGAATGTCATCGAAGTTCTTGTAGCCACAATAGGGGCAGGCTGAGACTTTGGGCAGCCAGCTAATGTCAGACTGACAGAGCTGGCAAAGGGTCGGTGGCTTGTACGGTACGCTTAACAAATTCGGCTGACTTGCTGGACACTTGCCGAGGATCTTTCTGCGAGTCTGCTGCTCCCTGGATGCCGTCAAGGACAAAGCCTTTCGCTTCCTGGCCGCCCTTTTAGACAGAGGGCCAGGATCAGAGGACGAAGTGTCAGTGCTGGTGGACTCTGGTGGCTGGGAGCATTTGCAGTGCCACTGGCGGGACTGCTGGTGGCTGCATGGGGGAGTGGGTACCTTGATTTTGTCCAGATTCAGTTCGTCGATCAGTTTCCTCAGGGTGGCCTTTTCCCTCTTCTTCTCCGTGTTTACATCTTTGGGCAACTGCATTCCTGCCACATAGCAACCACAACTTTGGCCAGCACCACCACCACCGCCCTCAGTATCCTTGCCCTTTGCCTGGACATGGGGGCACTGGAAAGGCGCACCGGCATGGGACATCAGGCGCTCGTCCGTAATACAAGTATTGGTGGCACACTTCTCCGATCGACCCAGAGTAAAGATAATGTCCTTTTTGTTGATGGATTTCTCCACTGGACGGCACACATCATAGCAGCCAAACGGCAGAAGACCGTGACTTAGAAGGATAAAGGATTTCACTACTGTTAAGATATTTCCCTGCTTCTATAACTTACTTTATATCTGGATCCGAGCTGGACAGCTTTATAATAAGCTCCACCACGCCCACCACCTTCTTGTCCATGACCAAATCCACCATGACGCTTTGGGTAACAAGGAAAGAGGGTTCTGTGAGCTGGCGCAGGATTCCAGCTCCCACCTTGAAATTGCCCATGCCCAACATCTCGTCGTTCTGTTTCAGGCCCACACAAACGCCCCTGGTGGTCAGGGAGCCGATCAGATCGCAGGGACTGGCCGTGAACTGGACCAGCGGATACGGCGGGAACTCCTCCACGAACAGTCGTTCCATGGGCAACTCCTCGAAGTCATTGAACACCCGAATGGAGTAGACGTGGTTTCCGCCCGCCGTCACACTCGTCGCTGTGAGGCGTGGCAATGGCAAGCTGGAGGTCACCAGGATGGCGTCGAAGAAGTACGTCTGCACCATGGCGCCCGCTCTCAGATTTCTGGCTGCCAATCTCTTATATCTATTCTGGAATTTACTTTACTGTCTACGATTTGGCTAAAACAAATACCAATTTATTAAAAAATATTATACCGGAAATAATACCGGAGTCTAAATAAAACCGGTGTGTACAAAGAATCGGATGTTATTGAAGTTGTAACCAGCCAGTATTTGGGGTTTTTTGAATAAATTTCAGAGGCTACTATATATCGAAATAAAAAAAAATGTAAGAAATATGTGTTAAAAGAAACTGATAATGAAGAAATCTCAGATAGAGCTCCCTAGGCATAAAAGTAGACTTTCGACTAACTTTTACCCTTATCGCAATTGCCAGATAAAGTTAAGACAAGCCATTATGTGGTTTAAAGTATAATCTGTTTAATATACACTTTCTAAAAGTAACAATAACATCCAAGCTTTACGTAAACCTAATCCAAAATAGGAAGAGGTCACTGGGTTTCGCCAGCTGCTAAATATTTTTACCAATTTCTTATCAAGAATTTTGCAATCTACAAGCTCAAGGTTCACATAGGTGACACATATATGCGACTATATAACACCGACCGGCCACCTTCACCTGTTCTATAAATACCTTACCTAAGAGGCAAGATTCCAACTAGAAAGCAAAAGTCTTTCACGTAATTTTCTGTAAGTTTTTGTTTTCATATGAGTAATGAGTAGCATGTACTTATTGCCAGAATAATTTAAAATGTAGTACACAATAGAGACTATAGGTTTAACAACAGGTATTAATATTTTGCTTTACTCGCAAGGTAACTAGGGATTTAGAACTACACTCCGATGTGGGGTGAGTGAGAGGTGTGTATGTGTGACAACAACGAGGTGTGCGTAATGCATTTTTCGAGGAGTCGGATTCCTTGGTTTTTCGTATTTAATCCTGGATCGGAGTCCTACTCCCTAGCTGTGCGGCAGTTCGCTAGCTTCAGGTGGTGTTCGATAGCCTCCTCGCTTACTGTCTGGCGTTGATGATTTCCACAAACTCGGGCTTCAGCGAAGCACCTCCGACCAGGAAACCATCAATGTCGGGCTTCTTGGCCAGCTCCTTGGCGTTGGCAGCAGTCACCGAGCCACCGTACTGGATGCGCAAGCTGGCGGAGACATCCTTGGAGATGTTGTCGCTCAGCCACTGGCGCAGGAAGGCGTGAACCTCTTGGGCCTGAAAAAGAAAGTGGAGAATGTAAACTCAGTTTTCAGGAGGGTCTCCTTCACCATACCTGCTCGGGAGTGGCAGTCTTGCCGGTGCCAATGGCCCAGACGGGCTCGTAGGCCACCACCACGTTCTGCCAGTTCTTGATCTTCTGGGCGTAGGCGCACATCTGGCGGGCAACCACCTCGTTGGTCTTGCCGGCCTCGCGCTCCTCCAGGGTCTCGCCAATGCAGGCAATGACCTTGAGTCCCTGGTCCAGGGCGTGCTGGGCCTTCTCGGCGATCAGCTCGTCAGACTCCTTGAAGATGGCGCGACGCTCCGAGTGACCCAGGATGACCCAATCAGCTCCGATGTCCTTCAACATGGCGGGCGAGATCTCGCCGGTGAAGGCGCCCTTCTCCACCTTGTAGGCGTTCTGGCCGGCCAGACCCACCTCGCAGGGCAGCAGGTTGCGGGCGTACATCAGGTAGATGGCGGGGCAGCCGATGACCACCTCGGTGTTGGGGTCCAGGTTGGCGGTGCTCAGGGTCTTGCAGATGTCGGCGATGGACTTCTGGTCGCCGTTCATCTTCCAGTTGCCTCCCACACAGAATTTGCGTCCGCTCATGTTGCTCTCGTTGCAGTCGGTGCTGAAATTGGCGTAAAACTGCCGGGAAAAGGTGAAGAGGTTGGCGAGTTAGTCGGTTGCCAGGTCAAGTGAACAAGATTAATAATTTTTGGGGAATGATTGAAAACTCCCCGTCAACTTTTTCTTATTTAATTAATAATTTTTGTTAGAGATTCCGGCACACACCCACCTCGAAGTCTGCTTACTAACCTTCTTCTGACCTTCATAAGTCTTCCACTGGCACTTGAAAAGCTTTGGAAAAACAGCTGTGAACTTGCCGAGAAAAGCTTCGGACACCACCCCCTTTACCACATCCGCCGTCACCCCTCCAACCGTGGGCTGGTTGATGTCCATGGTGGTGCTCCAGTGGCGGTACTGGTTCTTCAGTGGTTGTCTCAAAGGTGTATTTATGACTCTCTCGAAGTTTGCTTTATGAATCAATGTAGTTCGCAAATGTTTCATGATAAGCCTTCGGGGAGCCAAACCCTCGACGATTTTTTCAAGTTTGTAGGAACCAGTTGGGTGACATTACATAAGAAGCCTGCTGACATTTTTAAAAACGAGATTTTTTGAATTTAGTGAGTTTCAAAACCTATCTATTGGAAGAGGTGATCAGCTGTTTTGGCGTCTCTTCCATAAAGCTAAGAAAGCTTTTCAAAGAACATGGTTGTCTGCATTCTCCACTACAGTAATGTTCTAAATAACGAAAGCGCTTGGTACCCTATATAAGGGTATAGTATACGAATAACTGATTCTCTTATAAATCTTTATTGTAGATTTTTTAGATTTCTATTTTAATGTTATCATGTCTTATTGCAATTTTAATATGAATTTTTTAATAGTATTAAAAGCCCTATTTTAACAACATCCATTACAGTTTATTATATCTCCAATAAAACGCATTTTCCACAGATTTATATTAATTTATAATCGATTTATTTAACCTCAACTTTGAAATTCATTTCGCATGGCTTAACTTGGTTTTCACAGACGTTCAGGTATTACGTAAAACAGACATATAGTTACTACATACAGAGATATATGTATGTACGGTACACATAACAGTAAGAGCACATACACTGCAAAATACTCTAACAACATTTAACATTATGTACATAATTAGCTACTCCATAGAAACGTAGTGGAAAGTCATTCGTAAAATAAATGCGCAAAACTCCTAATCTCTAGGTATATCCTGTCACTATCCAACTAATTGATCTAGATCCGATAGAATTTGACAACTTTTCCGCCTGGATGCGAGGCGGGACAGAGAACTAATGAGAGCTGAAAGTACTTAACGTAAAAGCTTTGACTTGCGAGTATTTGCTAAGAGGGCTGTGTGGGTGGAAGCCTAGTCCTGACCCGTCTCCCGCCTTGACTGATCCTTCTCCATCTCTGCCCTGGTTGGAGGTCAACTTTCGGCACTGGTTGCCAGCAGGGAGGGCGACGAGTTGGTTAGTCCAGGAACTGTGGTGACAGTCGCTTGCGGAGCGGGAGGCGGCGAGGGGGTGGGAGTGGGTGAGGATGCTACCGAGGAGGCCGTGGATGAGGTGGCCTTAGGGGCATGCGGCTGGAAGAGGTGGAACAGGTTGGAATGCTGCATGAAGTTTCCCACTGAACGCAGCGGACTGAAGAAGTGCTCCGGGGGAGGGTGGGGCGGTTGTGGTTGCTGCGAGGAGGGCTCTCTGGGCTCGCTATGATCCTCGTGGCCAGTTCTTCCTTTGGCGATGGCATTACAATTGCAGGATCTGCTCTTCTTAAGCGAGCTCCTGGTTAATGCTGTGCCTTTCCGATACTTGGGCTTGTGTCCTGCCACTCCAGGGCTTGCTTCGCTGTCGATGACAAAGACTCCTGCATCCTGGGACTGTGCTGGAGTGGATACTGGTAGGCAGTGTGCACTGTTGGAGTTTCCAGCAAAGAGCTTGGCGCGAAGCAAGGCTGGCAGCGGTCCATTAATGGGCGAAGTCTGGATGGAGAGAGGTCTGTCTGGCTTGTGCTCCGAATCTGTGATTAATTCCTCGAGAGTTCCCACTGGCCTGGAATCGGTGTCGTCGGACCGAAGCTTTTCCCTCATCACCAAAGCCAGGGAGCGTCGCAGTTCCTCAGGATCCACCCCATGCTGTGTTGTGGAGTTTGGCGGTACAAAGACGTCCTCGAATTCCAGATCATCATCGTCCTCATACTCATCCTCATCCTGACTAAAGCTGTAGTTGTGGTTGTCGTACGAGGCGGACGGAAGGGAGTTGTTGGCCGGAGGTGGTGCTGGTGGCACCGTGGAGCTGCTATTCCGCTCGCTGCTGTGCTGCGAGGCGGGGGCTGGAGAGGGAAACTCATAGCTGGTCTCGCCCACTTCCGCACCACTGGAGGCCTCTACAATGTTCCACATCTCCCGTTCAATATCCGTAGTGACAGAAGCCACGGCGGCCACTGTTTGGTTGATGTTGTTGAAACAGGGGGAGACGACTCCGCATTTCGGCAGGAGCTGCGAGTTCTTTAGGGCCTCCTGTTGCTGCCTCAGCCAGATGGGGGAATCTAAAATGGAGTGAAGTAACCAGGTTAGCATGTTTTGGAAGGGACCACAGGTTCGGTCGCGCACTCACACTCACCCACATAGAGGCGCGGCTGCGTGGAGCGCATATTGGAGTCCATCGACTGCAGTCTGTGCTGACTGGCCATCGAAAACCGGTGTATAGCCTCCGCCTGCTGGTCGATATCCACGCCCATCATGCGCAGCAGTAGGTTCTTCAACGCCGCTCGGAAATCCTTGAGGTGATAGGCATACAGAACTGGATTAACAGCCGAGTTCAAGTGGGACAGGATTATGCAAAATAGGGTTAGCTTGGGGTGCACATAACAGTCCGGACAGAAGGCCTTGATGCAGTTGATCGTATAGAGCGGAATCCAGCAGATCATGAAGAAGAGCACTATGATGGACAGGTTCTGGGTGGCCTTGACATCCCGTTTCCGGGCTGCGCCTAACACCCTCAGCATTGTTCCGGCATGCCCACCTCGGCCAGGAGCAGCCGTAACTTGCACGGCAGCTGCCGAGGAACGCCGACTAAGATCGGAGGCGGGATTCATGGTCACAATCTGTCGAACCTAAGAGTGTAGTTTAAATATAACATATTTTTGGTAAAAAATTAAATTAATTTTACAAACCTGTTTTATAATCACTCGATAGATATGAGTGTAGAAAGCCAACATCAGCAGGGCCGGAGTAATAATGGTGGCAAAGTACAGGAAGACCAGATAGTCGTAGTCCATCACCTCGACGAAGAGACACTCCTGGTTGTGGCCAACATCCTTGTTGTGCCAGCCGAAAAGTGGCAGGAAGCCCACTATGGTCCCAGCCACCCAGCACATCGAGATGATGACTGCAATGGAAGACGAATCGGCGATTAGTCAGGGGCCAGCAACCTACGAAGCCCGTCAAAAAGCATCTCCCCCAGGATATTGTGGCACTGGCCACTGAACCCCATCGAACTGCAACGACCCCAGCTGTCAGTGGCTTGGAATGTGGCAAATGACGCAAATAACGACACTCTTAATCACTTGGCTCAACTGGAACATATTTGTGCCTGTTGCAGAGCGTATAGTTCGTTGCAGCAAATTGAATTCGATAAAAAAAGAAGGATTTCCTCTACAAAGTACAAGGTTTATAACGTTGTTCGGAAATAAAATAAAGTTATTATCAAGCCAGCGACTAATGAGGTCATATGAGGTTATAGTTTTCATTTATATTTTATCACAATCGTAGGAACCTTAGCTTAGCTGGGATTCCCCATTTTCTAATTATAAAACTAGGGACAGTTTTATAAAAACAATGGCCATCCAGAAGCTATTATGCCTCTGCTATTGAATACTGGTTGAGAACTTTTAATATTTTCCATTTCAACCAAGCTGCCATCTGTTCAATTGCTGCCCGGAAGAGTTATGCCTTTTGTTTTGGCCAAGCCACAACTCAAACATGGCCGATAGGAGGTGGAGGATAACAATGTGCCGCATATTAGCCTGAAAGAGTCATTAGCATTCCAGCCACAAAGGCGCAAGGCGAAACAATGGTCACAATAAAGCTAAGGGATGCATAGAAAAAGAGAATCCGTTCAAAGTGTGCTATCTGAGGACAGCTTAAAGAATTAAATCCCAAGCCATACCATTTAAAAAAATACTTACAAATCGCCGTTCGAGTGCGCACATTCCTGGAGTAGGCCATCGGATAGAGGATGGCCCAGTAGCGATCCACGGACACGGCCACCAGGCAGAATATTGATATAGTGCACAGGACTACTAGGAGTGAGACGGTGAAGAGGCAGGCGTGAAGATTTCGCGGCAGCCCGATCGATGCCAAGATGGCAAAAGGAACTCCCAGACTGCCCACCAGGAAATCAGCCATGGCCAAGGATACTATGTAGTAGTTGGTGCGCCGCCGCAGCTTTCGCTCTCGTCGGAACACAATGATCACCAGGACATTGCCGATGATGCTGACAATGGCCACAAGAACCTCGAAGACGGTGTAGGGGACATTCAGTTCGGAGCTGGGGCTATCGGAATCCTTGTGCTCCTTGCTCGTGGCAGCGGCATGGACCGGTACCAGTGGGACGTTGTAGGTAAAATCGGTGATTGATAAATATCGAATTTCTTGCATTTTGATTGGTTTGTTTATCTATGTATATATCTGTGTTCTTGAACCGATCGAGTATTTGAGGGGCTGATGCCTCCGAGCTTAATTGATGGGCGGAGTGAGATATTCAAGGAGTGGTGAACGAACTTCAATTAAATTGTCCGCTGGCGTGTGAAATTCTTAATTGACTCGAGGTGGCCGTGGCAGTAGCAGCGATAGTAATAACACATGCTGCGCATTGCGTATACGCCATGTCCGCCGCCCTGTTCTGCGGTTGCTCCTTTTTTTCACTTTTGTTCTGGCTTTTTGCTTTCGCTTTTGTTGTTCTTGCTTTCTATGTTTGTTTTTCTACTATCGTTGTTTTTATTGTTGTTGTCACACGAGCTGTGAATTGTAGTTAGCTGGAAAAAAGGGAAAACTTAATCATCATTCGGCACGTTTGTCACACACAAGCAGGGGTAAGCTTAATTGTAGCAATTTTTTAGTGTAATAAATTGATAAATATTTGCCGAAAAAAATAGATGTCCAACACAGGGAGCAGATATCGATAACGTGGCAACAAGCCACACAGCACAAAAGCCGCCCTTGATAATCCAGAAGACCCTATTTCACGGTGAAACCCATCAGATCCAGGATGTCCTTAAAGTATGCTCAAGGATTACATTGAAAAACACAGAGGCCAACTTGAATGGGGTTTATGGTGATGGGTTATTGGGTGATACACCCTATATATCTATTTATCTATCAGTAGTAGGCGAAGTAGTTATCTCCTTCGGCAGCCGCAAATACAAAGCTCTAAAAGCAAACAAGACCGGAGAGCAGCAAAATCAATTGCCAGACAATCAAACGTGTTGCTGCGGAACAGACCAGAAAAAATATAAAAAAGAACAAAGGGGATGGACTGTAACCCACACAAAAGCCAGACACCCCATAAATAAAAGAGCATCATGGACTTGGAGAAAAAATTATTGAGAAATGTATAGACACACAGTACACAATATTGCTTTATGTCTTAAAGACTTGGAAGGATAGAAAGGACTGCTAAAGATTAACTTCTGGCTTGAGTAAAAAATAAATTATTAAAGAAAGATACATTTGTAGCTACTTATTTTTTTTTACTAGTGTATCAGGACTATTTCTTTAAGCAAGTTGCTTATTTAACGCAACTTGAGCGGACAGCGAGCTTGCTGGAAGGACTGGGATTTTTCCTGCAGGAAGTTGCAGCAAGACATCAAAAGTGTGTGTACTTTCACCGGAATCCTTCACGCCAAAGTTAAAGTCCCAAAAGGTGGAGAATGAAAAAAATAAAAAAGGAAATGACTGCTCAATCGAGTGTTTTGGCGGCAAGAGTGCATCCATCAAGCCATGACAACAATTCGCGGAACATGAAAACGTTTTCCATTTAATTGGCCCACCTTTACGCCACTCGCGATTCATCAACTGAAAAGTGAAAGCAAAAGCCAGCCAAGGCAGGGGGCAGACCTGGTTATTTTACTTCATCAAGTAAGAGCCCTAAGTGCTCTTGCCAGGCCAAGTAACCTAGACCGTGGTAAGGGCTTGTCGAATTAACGCCGTTATTTAGCCAGCTCTTATGGGAGACACCCACTTATTGCCCAACTTATTGGCTATGGAATTTATGCTGACCGTCGGAGAGCTGGCGGGGCGGTAAGGGGCTCCCGAAGGACTACGATTGCGTGCCTGGTTCCGAGGGTCGACATTTGGAGCAGGTCGATTGGCTTAATTGCCTTTTGCCTAATTAATTCAATCGCAAAGTGGGGCGAAGGAAACTCCTTCGCGGACACAAAAAATAGCCAGCAACAGGCAGCGACATTTGCATTTCCATTTCCATTTCCATTGGCAATCGCATTCCCATTCCCATTCCCATTTCTACTTCCATAGCCATTTGAGTTAAAAAACTCAATCAACAAATGGCACAACAATTGGCCGATTTAATTAATTTGGCAAACACAATTAGCGATCGTGGCCATGGAGGGCGTGAGGCCAATTCCAAAGTGTCGCCCTGAGAGGAAAGCCGTGGGTCAGTGCACCTGACACCTAGACATTCAAAGAGAAGCACTGGAAAAAACCAGAAAAGTCTGGGGTAATATATGGTTTTATTTTTTTATTTGTTTTATCTTTTTCGTCGAGTGTATTCATGATATATTTGAATACGTTTGGAAAATTTTATGACACGCTGCGAATGACAAGCCAGAGCTCAATCACGATTCGCCACTGAAGCTCTAACTCATAATTTGAATGGCCCTCTAGGACAAGCTTATGGAATGCGTAGCTGGTGGGGTGTGGAACGTGACTAGGAACCGAAATCTATATAGAGGTTTTAAGTGGCCCATAGAAGCGACACTGCTCCAGTTCAAGGCACACCAGCTCCTTTCACAGATCGCATTACTCATACGCCCCGTGTTCGGTGCCTTGCTTGCAAGTGTTCAAACTTTTCGCTCATTTTTCAGGCTCATGTATGGGGGAAGGAGGATAAGATTTGGCCAGATACGTTTTCCTTTTAGCCACTCTTCACCCTTCCCATGTTTGAGCTGTAAGTGCAGGGGCTGTCAAAATCAGTTGGCATTAAGTTTATTACCATGTCGCCATCGAATTGGCCACATTCTTGGCCTCGCTAGCGGAATAACAGCCAGAAAACTGTTTCCAGCTGGCTGCATCTGCACACAGCTCTTTGACTAAATGCACTTAAAAAAGAGTAAAATTCATTTATGATTTAAAGGAAAACAGTATATATTTGTTGACTTGAGTCGCTATAACTTTAAGCCATTTATAATAATTTTGTTTCAGTTTTTTAACATTTTCTTGTATTTTCTTCGTCTGTAATCTGGCCAACGGAGCTGCTTGCCAGCTGATAAAGTGCGTTTCTATTACACGACGCTATCTAAGAGGGGGCGCTGAAAAATGACGGCGGTGATAACGAAGGAAGGACCAAGGACCCTTCGTCCTGCAACCAAAGTTGAACTGCTGATAGCTGGGAACTTGTGCAGTAAACACGTTCTCCATCTGCTGGCGCTATTTTGGCTCAAATTCTAATATACCATCCTGCGGCTGCTTGAACTTTAAGCCAGCACTCCATTTTTATTTCATACCAGAATTTTATCCTGGGCCATTTGTCTTCGTTGCGTTTTTTCTGCGTGGTCATCCTGCCTCACTTCACACGTTTAATTACGGCAAAACGAGAAGCTGCAACTGCAGGACCCAGGCAGTCTCCATATCCTTCGGCAATGATACGCAATTTTTTCCGGCTTTGAAGAACTGGCAAATTAATTGGCGGAAACTTTTTCTTGCCAAGCCGAGTTGATTGCACTTTGCATAGTACTTTTGTAATTGAGATTCCTTCCAAATGGTGGGAAATTCATCAGTGGCAGTGTAATACGTATATATCTATAGATTCCTGCTTTATCTGGCTGTGAATGAAAGTACGAGAATATCTTTGTAGTTGATGGAGTGGGACAATAAATAGCTCAAATCTTCACACGTCACCCGGAGGCTTATCGGCCAGTCGGCATTGCCAATATCGAAATCCGTGGCATTAACTGTCGGCTCGATTGCCCGATTCCAGTCTGGATTGCATTATCATTGCACGTTGACATCACGTGCGGTATGTAGATACATGTTTAATGTCTAAATATTGCAACTGGAATTAAATGATCTATCTCATATTTCGCATACTAGTGCGAAGTTCTTAAAATATTATTGTGTATTTTTTTTTTTGGGGAATAACTATTCCTGGCTCAGGAATGATTTCGTTCTATTGTCTACGGAGCACATGTGACGAGCTTCCCATGTCAGAGGACTGGCATGTTGATAGATAACTATACTATGTAGTAGGGGCATGGTCTGGCAGATAAATATGCCAGGCCAGCAAAAGTCCCTGGGTGAATAATCGTTCTGCTACTGCCAGAAACAGTGGTACAAAAGGAGGACCCCTTTTTATGAAGTAAATGTTGAAATCATAGCAAGTGTTATAGAGTTTTATATATCTTAGTTTTGAAATATTTGTTAAGTGAATTTTAAATATTGTTTAGCTTGCTTTCCATTTTTTTTTATAGTTACCATTCCACTGTCTATTTTGGAGTTTAGCGGGATATGTTCCAAATCGGTAACTATATGACAGAGACACGAGTAAAGTCCAGCGGCTACCGCATTGCCCAGTGACTATAGATATAGTCATTGTGACTGACAATGATATAACCTGTCCTCTGCCCCCTTCGGCCATCGGTTTCGTCCTGAGGTAAGCAATTTCTGGCAAAAACCAGAGATCAGCTTTTCGGCCCGCTTATCGTCTGGGGGCCACGTTCTTTCCTATTTCCTATTTTTGGGCCTGGTGTAAACATGTGAGTAAATTGTACGTAATTAAATGTTATGAGTTTGTTATCTCCGTTTGTTGTTTTCGTTTTCGGTTTCGTTTTCGATGCTTTTTTCGGGACAGGTCCCAGGCTGTCTCCCAATTATTTTCTGGCCGTATGTGGGACACAGAGATCCCGCTTTTGGGGACGGGAGAGACCCTGGTCAGTCAAATCAATCAAGCTGTGGCTTCCCCACCTTGTTCTTTTGTTTCCCCTCTGGAATATTTCACAATATACATGGCATTATGCCCGTCAACGCTGCGTATGCGTAATAATTCATACGACTCTGTATTCCCCAGATGCAGCCCCGCTACAACAACAGCTGCCATCTTAATTTCATTTTCTATTTCAGTTGAAACCATAAAGGAGCCACCCGAAATGCCCGTCCTGCCCCTCCCCAAGGACCTCATTTTTGACCCCATCCCCTCGGTTTCTCTCTTTCTTATTTTTTGTGACCCGCCTTGTTTGCCTTGCTGGCCCATTAAGAGGTCCTGTGATTGAATTCGGCTTACGCATGAAGAGTCAGAAAGAGTCAGCAGCCGAATCCATCAGCTGCCCCTTTCCGCTTTCCCTTTGGGGAAGTGGCAAAAGTTTTAAAGCCGCTTAAGACGTCCGCTGCCAAGGACAAACGACAGGATTCAAGTCCTGGCTTTGCATAAGCACTTGGTGGCAGTCTTTTTATTCTGCTTTAAAGGGGTTAACATCTAGGAACCGGCCTAGACGACACTGGATGACAAATATTTATGGATCCAATAAGGATTCTATTGATATTTGCTTGTTCTGACCAGGCTTGGCAGATTGGCATTTCATTGTCAACACGGAATGCCCCATCTCCGTTGAACAGCATCCCTGCTCACACTCGCATCCTTGTCGAGGATGGCGGCGACAGGACACACATCCACATCGTTTCGTCGTTTGCATTTCTGTTGATTTTGGCGCAATGACACGCAGCTCGTTACAGTTGCCGGCTCACTGGTCCTAGCCAGTTGTCGGTGGGTCCTTCCGACCCGTTGACCCTCGTCCCTAGATCCCTG